TTCTGAGGGAAATCCCATCAGCTCCCGCGCAGTGGCCTCGCAGACACAGGGACACACCTGCCCTTTGGCACTACAGGTGTGGCAAAGCCCCCAGGGGACCCTGAGAATCACCATTTGACTGACTCGCTGGTGTTTGCCGGCTGGCCTCGCACTCGGCCGCCCTGCTCCCCTCCCTCACTAGGTTAGCGGGGCTCCGAGAGAAGGTGGGGTGCTGTCAGTAAGCACTGCTAACTGCAGGGCTGGAGATTCAAACCCACCAGCTGTTCTGCGGGAGAAAGACGAGGCTGATTGGCCTCTGACACCTCTGGAACCCCGTGTAGGGTCATTATGAGTTGGAACTGGCCCAAGGGGAGTAGGTTTGCTTGTTTCTAATTTTAAGAGAACTTCCAATTAGACCGAATTTCATTAGCTACAATAATTCTTCCATTAAGCCAACCGCCCTGCCGTGGCATTGATTCCGATGTGCAGCCACCCCACAGGACAGAGTGGAACTGCCCCTTTGGGTTTCCCAGGCTGTAGCTCTTTAGGGGGACAGAAAGTCTCATCCTTTTTTTTTGCAGAGCGGCTGGTGGGTCCAAACTGCTGACTTTGTGGGTAGCAGCCCAGCACATCACCCACTTTGTCATGGGGGTTCCTCGGTTCTACCAGGAGCGTCCCTTATCCCAGACCCAGCTCGGGCAGCGGAAGACAGAATGCAGGGGTGATGAGGCTGAGCTCCCCAGCCAGGGCGACAGTGGGGTGGAGGAGAGTGGGGTCCTGGAAGGGGCCTCAGAGCCCAGGTCTCCGGGTCCTTGAGGCGTGTAGGGTGGACCTGTGAGCTTTGCTGGAAAACCACAGGTGCCCAGCCCAGATGACTTTCCCACCTGAGGCTCTCTACCCCTGAGTTCCTGAACCAGGAAGAGAAGTGACGTCAGACACAGGCTCAGACCCTCAACCCCCAAACCAAACTCCGTGCCATCGCGTCGAAGCCGACTCAGTGACCGGATAGGACAGGGGGGACGGCCTGGGTTTCCCGGGCGGTGACCACTGCTACGGTGGAGGGCAATGGGCAGGAGGTGGCCCTCAAGGAGATGGACGGATACAGTGGCCGCAGCAATGGGCTCAGGCACGGGAACAAGTGTGCGGACGGCGCGGGGCCGGGCAGTGTTTCCTTCTGTGGTGCTGATGGTCGTTATGGGTCAGGGCCGACTAGATGGATCTTAACACTAACAGGGGAGGTGACGGAGCAAAGCATCCCTGGGAGAGTCGGGGAATTCTGGCCCCATCAGGAAGGAACGGAGGGAGGGTGTCTGTCATCATGGGGTCCCCCCACCCCACCCAGCCCCACCCTTTCTAAGTTGGGACCAGTTTGTCCAAACGCAGGTACTGCACCCCTCTGGAGCAGAGGCAGAGGCGGGATTCCCCTCAGTCTGGGCCGCACGGCGGAAAGTCTGAATACGAGCTCCCTGCCGCGGCGCTGGTCCTGACCCAAAGGGACCCCGAGGGACAGAGTAGACCTGCCCTGTGAGGGTGCGAGACTGTCCCTCTCTGCACAGCAGTGCTGCTGCTGTCAGGGCCATCGACTCGGTTCTGACCTATGGCGAGCCCAAGCACACCGGAGCGAAACGTGCCAGGCCTGCCACCGCACTGTGATTGCGCCTGTGTGTGAGCCTTTGCAGGAGGAGACGGCCTCCTCGCTCTCCCTCGGAGCGGCTGGTGGCTCCGGACTGCCGAGCTGGCAGTTGGGCAGCCTAACGCTGATCAGGGCTCCCTGCCCGCCGAGGAAGGGCAAGTCTGTGTGGGAGGCGGGGACATACTCTTCCCCGTCAGCGTCCAGCGCGGCGGCGAGTTCCGTGAAGAGCAGGTCGGTCAGAAAGTGCTGCTGCCGGTACTCGGGGGTCAGGTCGAACATGCTGGCCACCTTGTGCTCTGGGAGGCTGGAGCCCGAGCTGGAGTTCTGCAGGGACAAGGCAGGGGAGGTGTCCTGAGGGCCGGACAGGTGATGGTGACAGGGCAGCTGGGGCTGCTGCTGGGGCCCTCTGTGCACTGTCAGGTGCACGGGAGGGGAGAGGGGGCGGAGCTAGAGAAGCCAGGCTGAGGAAGGTTCTCCTCCTCACCCCAAGTCAGAGGTGGGGTCTGGACGGGACCTTCGGGGCTGTATCCCGGTCTCGGCCACTCCCGCCCTCTTTATTTTGCTCTCTCGGCCATCACCGGGTTCTGCTGGCGGGGCTCAGAGGGGATTCCGTGTGTTCACCAGGAGAACGGCTGCTGTCTGTGTGTCTGGGCCTCTCCTCCACCATCTTTTGTCTCGCTGACCCGCTCTCTCCCGTACCCAGCCCACTGACCTCCCCAGGGACAGGTCCACCCTCTCCCAACCCCTCATGACCGATCCAAAGATCCTTTCCGATGCTTTCTCGCCGCCCCTGTTAAGGAGCATCCTGGCCGTACTTCTTCCCAGACAGATGCACTCGTTCCACTGGGCGCGCCCACGGGCTGGTCACTGCTCCTCACGATGTGACCCGGGTCTCCTGCTGGCGGCTTACCTGGGAAGATATGGAGGGGCAGGGCGACGGGGGCCCTGTGTCGGGGTCCACGAAGAAGAGGTTCAGGTTGAGGTAGTGCTCGTGGCTACAGAGGACTCTCAGGAACTCCAGCCGCATGGAGATGAGCATCGGAAGGGTGCTTAGCTTGGCGGAGAGCTGGGAAGGCCAACGGGAGGTGGAAACAAGGGGTGGTTAACCTTAAAGTTACAGGGACGGTGCAGCCGACCGGCAGTGCAGGGCAAGGGCCCTGCAGGCGTCCATCTCTGCCTGTCCCGAGGCTTTCAGACCCCAGACGAGAGTCCTGCCTGTCCCTCCCATCCTCTCCCCTGCAGGCCGTGGCAAGGGCTCGTTCAGAACGGACATGGGGTGTGTGTGGGGTGTGGACCTCGTTTTACCCGAAGCAGGAAGGCTCTAGAAGCCGTGGAGGCACAGGGGCCCAACACTTGGCTGCCAACCAGGAGGCCCATAGATCGCACCCCTGTCTCTCTGCGGCTATCGGCATCTGCACAATCGACAG